AAGTGTCGTGATGATAGTTTGTCGAAACTATCAAGAATATATTTTGTATATGATAAATGTACTAATATGATAAAAATGTCATGGTTTGATGATAGTTGGTAAATGCTATCAAGAGTACATAAAGTAATTATAGACATCACTATTTGAAAGATTTAATAGTCAAAATTTATTTTGAAAAATCTTACGATTCTTTGATGAAAGGTTTGACAATGATATAATATCTTTGTATATCACTAAATACAAGGAAGACATCATTAAGGGATGTGGAACAAGCCCATATCTAATTAATCTTTAATGATAGAAATTCAACTCACACTTGATTAATGTCAAGTCTTGAGTTCAATGATGAAAGTACATTATTAGAATGATTGAAGTACTTGACAATAGATAGGATGAAGTTTTTCTCTTAATAGACATATAATATATGTTTGCTGAAATGCATAATTATGAGTGCATCTATGATATAGTCTATCTATATGAGAATGAAGTGGTGTCGCTTCATATAGTTCAAAAACTTGTGTAACATCCCTATTTTTATTTTTTTTTACTAAATTTCATTATTCACGGAATATTTTATTTTATGTGTATATTTATATTTTATACATTTATTTATTATTATCGGCTTATTTTAATTATTGTTTTTATTCCTCTGATTTATTTCTTCATTTTATAGACAAATTATTTTTATAAGATAGTAATATTAATATTAATTATATAATGTTTGAATTATAAAAATAATAAAAAATATATTGATTCATAGGTTGTGGGTTAGGAAAAGAAAAATTATAGAAAAAAGAATTAGAGTAATATGGTGTGTTTGATTTATTGGTTGCTATTAGTCTTAGTCACATGGAAATATAAAGAATTAGATTATTCATTAATAATAATAATAATAATAATAATAATAATAATAATAATAATAATAATAATAATAATAATAATAATAATAATAATAATAATAATTATTATTATTATGATTATTATTAATAAGAATAATAAATAAAATAAAAATAGAATAAGTTAAATCTTACTGTATTCCGTGTTAAGCTGACAGTTTTGTTGTTAATAATTTTGGTGAGTACTTTTACAAAATTCTCTTGAACATGATATGTTTGTTGGTGTTTCTCTAATTTTTAACTCTTGTTTAATTATTTTGGACATTGATAACTGACCCTTACAAACAACATCTTAGGTACAAATATGGAGTTTTTAAAGTGATTGATGTCTGCATCATGTGTGCTCGCATGGAAAGAAGGTTTTTTTTAACAGCAATATGTAGAACTAAATCAACTGCATTAACTTTTGGAATCATTTAATTAGTGTTTTTTATTGAATTTGAAGTGCGGTGATTTTCCGCTTAGGCATGCAGATTGAAGTGAAATTTATTAAATTTTTCAATCATTATATTTCCGTTTAAAACAAGTATTTAATAATTTTTTAGTCAGGTCTCGAATGAAAATGAGATGTTACAAGTTGACTCTTAAATTTTTACCAAAAGGATATGAAACACAAGGCCTTATTTATGTGTCATATCGATAATTCGATCAATGATATCGAGATTTCGTGTGTGAGTTATACACGCTTGTTATAATCAATAATTTGTTCAAAGTTTGTCTATCAATCTATTCGGGGATGAGTGCAAATTTAACTTACTATAAGTAATGGTTCAAATCGTAAGATATCTTTATCTGAAATTGTAAAATTTTCTAAATAATAGATTTATATATATTTTAAAAATGGTAGAGGATTGAAGGAGAATTTATAAAATATTCTGAATATAAATTTAAATATAAATTGATAAATAAATCATAAAGAAAAAAAATGGCATAATGGTTAAAATAGTTAATAGTAATATTGATGCTATTGGTTCAAGCCTTGGTTATTGCACCTGCTGAGGTTGGTGAGCAAGCATCCAAAAACCAGCACTAGTTGGTGTTAGTGTTAAGCGTTATGGATATATGATTGTTCCTGAATCATCATTTTGAAACAATTGAAACATTGTTTCTCCTCATTAATTGGTACAAGTTTTTCTATAAATAGAAATACTTGTTAGGCATAAAATAAATACGAAATTAACCGTGTTTCATGTACCAAAAATAATATTTAGGTCATTTTTTTATTTTTCTAGTGTACGAGAATAATTGAGGAAACTTTGAACGATATGCTTAAAGTGAATGTGTTATTCGTGTTAAGGTTTCTAAAATATGCTGAAGATGATTTGTCTATTAACCATTTGCATCCAAATTGCCTAAATTGGTGGAGGCGAAGCGAACCTAAAACTTAGTGTAAACACACGTTTTAGAATTTATTTTGTATAACTTTCATCGTATAATTTTTATTTTCTTCTTGTCTATGTTTTGCAGCAGACCCCCAACACAAGATGAATCTTTAGGATCGAATATCGTTTTTGATTCATATTTTATTTTTAATTAATATTAATGTATGTAACTTTGAAAAAATAATAGCAACTTTCAATAAAGGTGAAAGATATACAATTAATTTATATAATTTTAAAAATTATGGAATTTTAATTTATAATTTATAATTTATGATTAATTTATAGTTGAAACAGTGAGGAAGAAATAAGCATACATGTTTGATTATTTCTAACATGATGATAACTTTCGTATCTAAAATTTCCAATGAATACTGTTTACGTAACATTCATTCTGACATGAAAATGATTTTAAATATTATTCTATAAAGCACAATAACATGTTTTCTTGTGTGGTACAGAATCTATATGATATTCTTTGTTTTTCAAGGAGTAAGACAATGTTATACAGTACCTATTATATTAGTTTGTCTATTCTAGCTTTTATGCATTCAACAATTTGATGTACACACTTTCACCTTATTATAATTGTATATATTATTTGTAGAATATCTATTGGCTGCACGTATATGTAATTTTGTATTGAAGTATGTTTTGTTTTCACACATACAGGTATTTATTAAAGTTATAAATTTGTTAATCAGTAATCAAACTCAAAAGTTTATATTTTTAAATTTTCTAATTGAATATTAATTTTAATTTTATGTGAATAATATTTTCGTGTTCAAGAAAAGTTATTATTATAAAGCATATAAATATCATCGGAAAATTATGATTTATGTAGTCTTTTGAATTTGAAGTATAATGTAAATTATTGAATACCAAAATATGGTATTTTGAGACTTTATATGGAAGGATTAGGAATTCAATATTTCCACAATTAAAGAACTTTGTGAGGAAGAATTTTCATGGATTATTGAAACACAAATTGAAAATTTGTCACAGATTGTTGAAAAACAACTTCAACTTAGGATAAATAAGAGAGTCCAAAAGACTAAGAATTTATTTCATTAATCTACTAGAAGGAAATATTATGAGTTTTGTTAGTAAAGTTTCTATTATTCTTTAAGTGGAAGTAAAACTTAAAATTAAAAAGGTTAGCAAATGAAGAATGACATCAAATTTGTGTATGTAACAAAATTTAATTAAATGAAAAAAATGTCCTGATGATAGTTTATCTAAACTATCAAGAATATATTTTGCAAATGATAAATGTACTAAGATGACAAAAGTGACATAGATTGATGATAGTTAGTAAATGCTATAAAGAGTATATAAAATAATCATAGACATCACTATTTTAAAGATTGAATATTCAAAGTTTATTTTGAAAAATCTCGCGCTTAATTGACGGAAGGATTGACAATAATATAATTTCTTTCGATATAACTAAATACAAGGAAGACATCATTAAGAGATGTGGAACAAGCCCATATCTAATTAATCACTAATGATAGAAACTCAACTCACACTTGATTAATGTCAAGTCTTGAGTTCAATGATGAAAGTACATTATTAAAATGATTGAAGTACTTGACAATAGATAATATTTCGCAAATAATATTTCGCAAATAACCGCGTTTCGGAAAAAAGGAATTAGATTACACACTAGTAATGTCATGTATATTATTTTAAAACTTAAACTTAAAATCAAGAGGTAAAAGTACTTGGACCGTAAGAATAAATACGATAGAATTGAGTTTTTCTCTTAATAGACATATAACATATGTTTGCTGAAATGCATAATTATGAGTGCATCTCACATATAGTCTACCTATATGAGAATGAAGTGGTGTCGCTTCATAGAGTTCAAGAACTTTTGTAACATCTATATTTTTTTATGTAAAAGATTAATTTTTTTACTAAATTTCATTATTCAAGGAATATTTTATTATATGTGTATAGTTATATTTTAAACATTTATTTATTATTATTTGCTAATTTTATTAAATTGTTTTTATTTCTCTGATTTATTTCTTCATTTTATAGAAAATTATTTTAATAAGATAGTAATATTAATATTAAATATTTATAATTTTATAATTGTCTATTCTTATATCTTAACTTTTATAATGTTTGAAGTATAAAAATAATAATACATTTATTTATTTTATTTAAAAGAATATTTTTTGAAGAATTAATTAATTTTTAGTATTAAGAAAATTGTTGAATAATATATATATATATATATATATATATATATATATATATATATATATATATATATATATATATATATATATATATATATATATATATATATATATATATATATATATATATATATATATATATATATATATATATATATATATATATATATATATATATATATATATATATATATATATATATATATATATATATATATATATATATATATATATATATATATATATATATATATATATATATATATATATATATATATATTAGTCTAAAAAGAAAATAAAAAAAGAATAGAAAAGACTAGAAAATTAAAAAAAAGAAAAAGAAACAGATAAGGAATTCGATTCTCCTTCTTTTTCGTTCACACATTTCGCCGAACCTAGCCGCGCTCTCAGACGCTCCGTCCTTCATCCGCTCCTAGTCAAACCTCTTTCGTTCATACCCTCCGCCGTGTTCTTCGTCACTCCGTCCAACTGCCACGCCGTGTTCGTCGTCCATGTCGTCGTCTGTTCGTCGTTCGCTGTCCAACTGCTTTCGTCCACGTCGTCCGCCGTCCACGTCATCAAAGTCGTCCAAAGAATTTCTCAGAGCAATTGCATCAATTGCTCAGAGCAAAGAATTTTCTGCTCTATGTCAAAAGATTATCCATTTGATACCGAAAATACAACTTCAAAGGTAAGTCAAAGATTTTTTTAATAAACCTATAGAAGTTAAGTACTACGTTGATAGATCTACCGAGTCTGAATTGAAATTGAAATTTATTGGATTGAATAAAAACTTTAACCTCAAGCATGTTAAATCTTTTTTACTAAAATCTTAAGGTGTTTAGCAGAAGTATTGAATGGTATTCTTTTCATCTTTATTCACTTCTTTCTGGAACTGAATGGTATTCTTTCTGATGATGCTGACTTGGTTGAAGCTCTAAAAGTTGTTGAAAATCTACTATCAAGCTAATGAGGTATTTTCCTGATGAGAATGGTTTCTATTAGTTTCTTGACAATAATGGAAGGTATGTGTATGAGGATAAAATTGTAGAGCCGAAATAAGTTTTGTCAAAAAGGAAGAAGTCAGTGTCTATTTCTGATCATGTTGGTACATCATTTGATTTGTCTTCATTGCTTGATGGTTTATTGTTTGCTAGTGCTAGTTAAATCCTACTTTGATGAATAGTTTAGCAAGATTCTAGTTGATTCCCAGGCCTGAGAATCTTGTATTCATGCTCATATTATTTTGGTAGAAAGGGAAGCAAAGGCAAGGGAAGATAAGATCAGAGAGGAAATTAATTAGTAGTACTACCTTTTCTTGAATTGAAATTAATTACATGAAATTGTTTTTTAGGAGTAGTAAATTTATTTTGTTATTTGAATATGTATATGGCAATTGTAGTAGCAGATTAGTAAAAGGGACATGACGGATATTGGGTAGATATTCTGTCAATTGTAGTAGCAGATTAGTACCAGACGAAATTCTATTCAATTTCTTTCACAAGATTGATGGAAAATGATGGAAAAGATTACATAAACACTTTCACAATTTCAATCAATATAAATATTACAGTACTCCCATGTTAATGTTTTTTTTCTGATGTGCAAGTAGGTTTCTTATTTTGATCTTGATCTTTGTAACTCATAATTGTGTACATTTCACATGTGGCTTTTCACACAATTTACTTGCATTCTGTTTAGGTTCTTTCCTCCAATTTTATTCTATCATTTTTCTTTGATCTTAGTCACGTCTTAACATACTCGGTGCCTTAATAACAGTTTGCATCAATTTCTGTTAGAAATTGTTTGTTGAAATCAAGTTTTTGAATTGCATACTGCAATAGGAACAATCTATAGTGATTGTAATAATAACTAACTTCTTTAAATATTTAACAGATGATGTGGGCTCTAGAATATGATCCCTACTTATTCTAGTTGTATGAAGATTCAGAAGACATATATCAGTTGATGGAAAGAAGTGGCAACTTTCCTGTTTGTGGGAAGGTAGTATTTACTTTTGTACTTTTCAAATTCATTCTCACTTAATTGCTTTTAGTACTCTGTTGATGCACATTGTCATTTGTCTCATATATTGGTTTTAATGAAAATTGTCTGAAGGGCCAAAGCAAGATTCAATATGAATTGTGCTAATCATGACTTGAGAGCTTGAAAATGTGTAATAACAAATTGTGTATTCTATATTTATTAGCTAAATGATGAAATAAAAGCTGAAATTCAACTAATAATGAAAGTTGTTTTTGTTTTATTTTGATATAGGTGATGTTATTTGATGAAACGACTTGATGTTCTGCCATTGGATGTACTTTCTCGTCGATGATGGCACTACTGCTCAATTGTCGCTTACGGCTGCTAATGGAGTGTTTGAAGCACATCGCATATCAGATGCAATTTGAACTCTGGTATTGTTATTCAAAATTAGCACTTACTTCTTGGTCTTAATGTTTGAAAGTTCTGTGTTACCGGCATTTTCAGCAACATCTTGTCGCTCGAAGTTCTACACAAAAACACTATAGGAAGATCGCCGATGCACCTTCCAGTCTCGAGCAGGCTATGAAAAGGCGACATCTATATGAAGCTATTATCGGATACAGTATTAGGATGAAGCTATAAAGTGCTAACTTGTGAGTTTGATTGAATGTGATTCCTCTATTCTCAGATCTTAGGCTCCTATCATTCTAATTCAAATAAATTTGATAATGAATTATTTTTCAAATTTTGCTATCATTCTTGAAAGTTATCAATCTGTAAATTTAGAAATCATTATCAAACCATAATTAGGAACCTCTAGGCATATGTTTTTTTGGTTGACCTTTTAGAATTTTATGTCTGATTATGTTACAGTTTCTAGCCCTCCATTTGAATGAGATTTACAATAAAGATTTGTTTACTAACTGCAAACATCTCCAACAGGCTAACATGATTTATTTTTATCAAATAACAATGGAGGCATTGTGTGATCGGTGGATCTGGAACTGACTGTTTAACGCTGGTTCGCGAAATGTCGCGGAAGCAAGAGTCGCCACCGTCTTTTATTTTCTCCAAATGGAAAGGACAAAAGCACAGAAAAATTCCTTATAGAGATTGCTCTCGGTTCGGGAGGTAGATTATAGAAAGGGAAGGTGTTAGCACCCTTTCTATCCATGGTTATCCATGGGCTCTTAGATACTTGCTCACTTGTGTTTTCAAAAATGGTTTGTTTGCTTTTCAACTGTGGGTTTTAAAAAGTTTCTTTGAAAATTCCAGTTCGACTCTTGTATCGGTCCTCAAGAGTGTTTGAAAAATTGCTTTCGAAAGCTTTTTGAAAAGGTGTCGGTGTGAAAAGTATTTTTGAATTTGTTTTGAATTTAGAGCAAGTATCTAGAGTTGTCTACCTACCCTAAGGAATTCGTCTGTGTAAATGTCCTTTAAAGTAGTGCCATCCCACCATTGAGAGGTAGGTAGCACCACTATTGGATTTGTTCGGGTCAATTCGAGGTTCGGGACATGGTGATCACCAGAGCAATGGGAAGACACCTTAGAAGCTACCCTCATGCCAGGTTCCCGGATCATGAGGACTTACTAAGACATCCTCTACTCGACGATCACCTTTCGAGGCAAGGCAACAGTGAGGCATACCCTAGGGGTGGTGCGTGATTTGTGTGTCGTTTTCATTTGTATTTATCTTGTCATGTCATTGGTGTTCTACGCTTGTTTTTACTTTGTCCATACATTCTTTCATGCCATTTGTTAACAGTTAAAAATATTGCGGGAAAGTAAAAATTCTAAGTTATTACAAAAGGCGCGGGTCCACATCGCCAAAATTAAACCAAGACCCGATTTTGACAGAAAAGTAAAGAAAGTAAAGAAAAGTGCGAGAAAATTAAAAGGTTACATGGCCTTGGGAGAGATACATAAATATTATAAAGAAATAAAGTAAATATGCGAATAAGAATTAAATCGAAACGAGGGCGTTGGACCCTTTTTGCAAAATTAAAATTACATGGAATTAATTAATTAAAAAGAAAAGAAAGAAATTGTTTTTTTTTGTATTTTATGATTTAAATGAAAAAAGAATTAATTAAAATAAATACTAACCCTAATTCTAGTGGCTTTTAATTTATTAAGAAAACATTGAATTTTAACCTAAATTAACCCTAATTTTTATATACAAATTTAATTATAAAAATAAATGTTTGATTATTTAATTATTATGGGAGAAAAAGAAAAAAGGATAAAAATTAATTAAACCCTAGTTCTATGTTTTTTAGATTTTTATTAAAAAGAATTAAAATTACAACCTAATTTAAAACTAAATAATTATATACAATTTATTTATGAAAATACTAAAAATAAAAATATTTATCGTTTTTCTCTTTTCTGATTTTTTTTTATTTTTTATGTTTTTTATGAAAATAATTAATTAATTAAACAAATAATAGTTAAAAGAAAATAGAATTAATAAAATAAAAAAGATAACATGGCAAACCTAGGGGAGTTGTAGTCCCCAACATGGAGGTGAGGCCTTTAGCAATCTGGCCCATTTACCTTGCTGGCCTCTTTGACTTTTCAGGACGCGTGTACACGCGTTGACTAGGGTGCATTGTGTCCTCCAATCCATGGCCTTCTGATTGATCTTGAGATGGACGTGGCAAGCTTGATTAGGAAGGTGTATGGTGGTCTCTAGTACGTGAAACTGCATGTGAAGATTAATTGAAAAATAATATTGAGATAGTGAAGACCTGGGGCTCGAACCCAGGTCATGGATGCTGCCAGCACATATGCCTTGCCACTGAACCAATTCACGCATTCTGATTATATTATACAAAAGAATCAATATAAAATAAAACAATGTTAGTGGGGCCTCCGCGCGCGAAAGTTTAAACAGGCCAACCATCTAATGCCACGATATCATCTTCTTCATGGATTTCATTTTCCTGAAAATACAAAAGAAACAGGCAACGGTTTTCATGGTGTTCTCTTAGGCAGGTTATGGAAAAATAGCGAATAGCCTTGTGACGCTCATAAATTGAGCGCGAGGGTGCCGTCTTCTTCGTCCAAACGCGCTTGTGTCAATGGTGGTACTCAGGGGTTCCAATTTTCCCTGGACTGGGAAACCCCAATTCAAAGTCCTTCAAACCCTAAAAAACGATAATGGTAGATTCGCGTAGGGTGCATAAAAATTCAATCAAACACATGGGTTAGCTTCAGAATCACACAAGGAATATGAATCAACAATTAAAATGCCATGAAAATGCATAGATGTTAAAACACGATTATAAAAAAAAAAGTGGAAAAGTGTGACTTCTGTACAATGATTCAAAGGGCTATGTTTGATGTTTTTGATCCAGGAAGATTGCTTGAGGTCCTAGGAGTGCAATGGGATGGAAATTTCGCCTTGAATCGTCCTGCAAAGGTGTTTTCAGTTTTGAGTTTCTTTGCAAGAATTTCAAGTTTGATGGATGGTTTCTAGCGTAGCTCAGTGGTCAATGGCATTAGGTTTTGATTCTATACTTATGTAAGAGTGAATTAGGTCAAAAAGAACCATCCAAATCTCTTGCATTCATGGTTTTTGAAATTTGATTTTCAAAGATCTTTTTCAATCTTTTTTCATGTGTTTTTGTACAAATCATGATCAATTCTCTCCAAATCTTTCCATATTTGATTATGCACGAATTATTGATTAGATTTCATGCACAAAAAGATTGTAAAGCTTAGGTTAAATATTTTTCATGTATTTAATTTGATTTAAATGAATTATTATTAATAAAAATTCAAATAAATAAATAAAAAATGAAGAAATACTTCCCTTTGGGCCAAGTGGTCGTGCACATGCTTTGGATGATGAATTGTGGAAGAAAAATGGGTCCATTAGCAATTTTAGGTCATTTGAATCAATGTTGACTTTTCAAAATATCCAAACATTTCCCAACTTCCACCAGGCATAACTTGCTCAATTTTTAAGCTTTGCTCATGTTCTTGGACATTTTGGAAAGGTCTTTGAGTCCTCTAACCAATGTCTTTGGTCCCATGTAATTTTGATTTACCAATCTCAAGTTATGGCCTTTGACTTGAAGTCCCTTTTTGTTGACTTTTGAAAATGACCTATAATGTTGAAATTGATAACTTTTTGTGAGAGCATTTCTTGGACTTTAAGTATGAAGATGAGTTGTAGGAAATGTCTTTCTCTTCAAAATGAGATTTGGATGGAATTTTTCTGATAATCCATGTGAAAGTTATGCCCTGGTCAATTTACAGTTGACTTTTTCAGCTGTCCAAATAAGGAAACTTTTGCATCTTGATGATTTTTGAGCCAAACTTTGAGAATCATGATCAAGCATTGATCAAATGATGTTTGTGGCTTCAAAATGAGGTGTTGACCAAAAATTTGAACTTTTGACTGTCAAATGACCATTTTGCCCCTACAGTTGACTGTAGTGCAATTAGGGTTTTTGACTGTGCAATTTTGTGCTGAAAGCCTTGAAACCTTGTATGAGGATGCTTGACCATATTTGTAGGCATATGAGACTTGATTGGACCTTTGGAAACTTCATTTTCTTGTTTAGAAGCAAAACCCTAATTTTGACTGTATAGGAGACCTTTGCACTGTGCAACCCTTGGAGAATTTTGCAGCTTGATTTGGCAAATTTTTGAAGAATATGGGAGGGCAAATTTTGGGGTACAACAGTTGCCCCTGTTCAATCTTCTTAGACCTGAGGATGCAGATTGGCTGACGTGCCTTTCGTAATCCGAGGGTAGAAGATAATTGGACACTAGAGTGCCCAGAAATTTGCGCTCACATAGTAGCAGTGATGGTGGAAATGGGCTTACGGATGCCATTTAGAGGTTGATGAATAGGATGATGGGCTTATAGATGCCATCTGGATGTTGATCGCGTAAGAGATTCCTTAGCGAGAACCTGCGTACCTGCAAAAGAAAAAGAGTACCTGACATGTTGCAGGAGCTGGTTTTCAGATGCTTGATATAGATGTGTCCTGACTGGTTACAGGAGCTGGATCTGGAGCTTCAAAAGATGATGAATGAACCAGGGATGGTTACTACCTTAGCATGAACGGTAAGAGAACCTTGGGTGACTTTAACTTCAACAACGCTCGTTGAGAAAATCTTGGTGGGAATTACCATCTTCGCAGTATCGGGAAGAGAACCATAGGCAATTATAATCTCAAAAGCGGACGTTTGAGAAAAACCTGAGTTGGAATTATCATCTCACGCACCGTCGGGGAGAGAACCATAGGAAATTATAATCTCAAAAGCGAACGTCTGAGAAAAACCTGGAATGGAATTAT